GCTGTGGAGGAGATGCCATCTGATGAACCCAAATCTTCTGTGCCGATGTATAGCTGTTCTCTTAGTCGTACGCCGATTACTCGTATCGTATGTATATTTATTTATATGTATGTATACGTACACGCGTACGCATTATATATGTATATATAATACCATCAACATTTGAGTGTGCTGACGGACCGCTACCTTTCTGAGTTAATTTTTGCAAGACATAACAATGATGTCGAACGCACAACGGCAACACACTGGCATAGCGCTTCAGATCACTGTCCAGTCAACTGCATAACAAACGCTTTGAAAAAAAAGATTCACCATTGCCATCTTCTTCTCATCTCATCATCATCATCATCGATATTCATCATCATCATCATCATTCATCATCATGCATCGATCTCTCTCATCTCATCATCATCATCATCATCATCTATCATCACCATTAGGGGTTGACATCAAAAAATATTTTCCTCAGCTTTAACACACGATGGCGCTCACAATTTTCTGCAGTGACGACAAGACAGACAGCTGCTCAGCTGGCGTTCGCTACAGCAGCTCTCTCGCGAACGAATCAATGGCCAGGCAGGGGACCCACATAAACTATGCAGATTCTATACCCCTGCTATCATTATTACCTACGTGGCCTTGCGACTCGACAGAAACCTTTCGAGCTTCCCCGTTCTGTATACACAAGAAATCTCCTGCACACATAATGTTGCAGCGTTATGACCTGACTGATAATCACTCACTGTAGAGTTATATGTCCACCGTCACTGGCGCCGATCCACGCTTACTGTAGTTACTGCACGACACGTGAACAATATAGACACAGATATAGCCTACGTATCCTCATCGACAGGACAGTTATAAAGTTGGAGCCAACAACTCTGAGAGATATCAGTGAAGACTCCACTCCAGGGACCGCAGCGGCCATTACAGACTGACCGCCGGTACGATCTTTACGGGAAGACTGTGAAAATGGCGACCTTCCGCTGTCTGAATAACGGCGTAGTGACGACGTAGGATGAGAAGAGCCTCGAGCGTGCCAGGCATCGACATGGCCAGGGGGCGGCGGGAAAGGAAGAACCTAGGGGCGGCCGTCACACTTCCCTCGTGAACAACCACGAATGAATAACTTATGAGACAGACGGATTCCTGCAGGTTCACGTAAAACCAGTAAACCATGGGCGACACGAGCTCACATTCTAAACACACGCCACGAAACTGACGAGTGCGGCCACCACGCTGCTGCTGATAACACAGCCACGAATGAACTAACACAAACCACATCGATAATCCCGTACGTGAGAACACGCATGTGACAACAGCAACATAACAATAACCGTGTCTGCTGATAACACAACCCAAACAGATTTGCACGATTGTGGATGATAACACACACCACAACGGTGACCCGTACATGATAACACGGAGTGCGTTGAGAACACAACCAAAAAAAGATAATGTTAACCAATAATGTTAACGTCGCGCGCATTTGATCTAAACCACGTAATGTTTATATTGTGCTTTATAAAT